CTGCCGTGACAAAGGGGCGATTCCCACCCACGCCCTGGGCCAGGACTCGGAGGGGGGAATTTTTTTTTGCCTCTCCAGGGGGAGGAATATTTTTCTTCTGGGGCATTTTGGCGGAGCCGAGCGCAGGGGGGTCCCCGGGCGGGGGGGGCCCTCCTGGCCGCAGGAGCAGCCACGGTGTTTCTTGCTGAGTGTGGTGTTCACTGTGATGTTTTTGGGTACCACCTCGTCTCCTGGCTGTTCTTCTGGGGGATGTGGGAGCCTTTCCCAAGAACCGGGGAGAAGAGGGAGCACGACAGGATTTCAAGAGCCCCACCCCCCAGGCCTCAAGCAAAGCCCCCCCCCCCCTTGCAGCCAGCACGACCCTGAGGGTTCCCACCCAGCAGGTCTCTGCTCCTGGGGATGGGGAGATGGTTGATTTTTGGGGGGCGGGGAGCAGGGCGATGCTGTTTGGTACCCCCATGCCAGAGGCACCCACGGGTCCCCACGCTGGGTCCCCTCCCGCAGCCCCGGGATCGGGGGAAGCAGCGGGGCCAGCGGCGTTCGGGGATGGGGGAGACACGGAGAGGGGCTTTCCCGGGCTCTCCCAAATCCTTTGCTTCTGCCAGCGGCGGGGATGGGACCCTCCTGCCCCCGGGCCGGGGGCTGGATGCCCAGGATGCCGGAGCCGGGCAGGGAACGGTTGGACGTGGAGCTGGACCCATCCCATCCCGGACGGTCACCTATAGCTGTCGCTGTGGGACCAGCAAAGCCATCCCTAAGCCCAGGTCCCCTCTGGTCACCGCCCGGGCAGTGGCCGGGACCAGGAGAGCTGTGTGGGGCCACGGGCAGGGACACGCCGTGCCCAGCAGCGCCCGCGCCCAGCACCCCGGGAGGGATTGGCCTGGCAGCTCCCGAAATCCCGGGCACTGGGATCTCTTGGAGTGGGGGCCAGTCCCGGGTGGAACAGAGTGTGGTGTGTGGGGGTGACCCTGTGAGTCAGTGTCCCCTACAGGGGGGTGACCCTGTGGGTGTGGGATCCTATATGTGGGTGACACTGTGGATTGATGTCCCTGAGGATGGATGGGTGTTCCTGTGGATGGGTGTTCCTGTGGATTGGTGACCCTGCACGTGGGCAGCTGTTCTCATGAATGCTCCCATGTCATGGTCCCACTGTCCTGGGAGCATCCGTGGGGACAGGGCTGTGCAAGTTTGGGACGGTGACACCCACGGGAGGGGACAAAGGGACACTCCTTGCCCTCTGTGTTCCCTCCCAGGCCACGGGGTGTGTGGGTGTGATGGGAGCTCTGGCTCCACAGGGAATAAATCATCCCTGTGACCCAGGAGAGCTGAGCCCAGGGGGTGTCCCAGCCAGGGCAAGGGGACACCATCCCGTGGGGACAGTGCCTCTCCCCCCCAAGGCACGAGGTGAGGGGTCGTGCTCAGTGGCAGTGTCAGCAGAGGAGGCTGAACACGAGCTCCAGCTATTTTTGGGTGCCTCTGGTGACACACCGGGGCCAGACACAGGGAGAAAGTGTCCCCAGGTCACTCAGGGGCCTGGTCACTTTGACCCTGAAGTCCCCAAGACGAGGGGACGCGCTGCAGTCATGGGGCTCAGGGACACCTGAACCCCCAGCAGGAGGAGGATCGTCCCCAGGGACTGGGGGACACCGAATCCCACGGCCACAGGTGACCCCACACACTGGGAAGGTCTGGGGAATGCACTGACCCTGACCCCACTGCCACTGGTGCCCAAAGCAAGGGGACATGTGGGGTCTGTTGGTGTCCCCAGTGTGTCCCCCCCCCCCCCCTCCACACACAGAGCATCCCTCGTGTGTCCCCACACACACAGGGGTCACGTATGTGCCCCCACACGCATGCACATGGAGCAGGGACAGGCTCACACGTGTCCCCACACACACAAGGAGCTGGGGGCTGAGGGGGGTCACACATATCCCCACACTCCCCTGGAGTCCCTAAATGTCCCCACACACGTCCTGCTGCTCCCCGTGCCTCATTGTCCCCCAGCCCAGCCTGCCCGTCCCCTGAAGGACACTGTCCCTGCCGCTGTCCCCACCTTCTCACCGTGTGCCACCTCCACGGGCAGCACCCACCCCGTCCCCACGTCCCCCGTGGCGGGCACACACCCCGTGCCCAGCCCTGCCTCGGGTCCCCACACCCCGCACCCCCACCCCGCAGAGCCCCCACGCATCTCATGACACGAGTGTCCCTCTCTCTGCCTCCCCGTCCTTGCCCCAGCCCGGGGGGGTTGGGGGGGTCCTGGCGGGGGTCGGTCGGTGGCGGGGGGCTGGGTGTCCGTGCCGGGGGTGGCCGCTGCCAGCGCTGCCAGGGGGAGTATTTCTGGAGCGCGCCGTGCTCTTTCCAATCATGTGATGAGGACATTATTTAAGGCGGCGGCGGGGCCGGAGCAGCTGCAGCCGGTGCCACGCTCGCAGCACGCCGAAACCCCCGAGCGCCTGCGGAACCCCCCCCGAGACCCCCTCACCATGGTGGACGCCTTCGTAGGCACCTGGAAGCTGGTGGAGACCAACAATTTCGATGAGTACATGAAAGCTCTGGGTGAGTTAGGGGGGTGAGGAGGGCTGGAGTCACATCACCCCATTTTTCTTTTTTTATACACCCCTCCTCCCCACATTGCGCCCCCCACACGCGGGGGTCTGGCTTGGGGGGGGACGTGCAGGCGGCGGGGGGGGTCGCTGCTGCCTGGGTGGGTGCTTTTTAGGGAGGGGCTCTGGGGTTTTGTGCACGGGGATTCGGGCTGGGTAAGGGGGTCTCGGGCTGGGTTAGGTGGTCTCGTTCTTCCCCTGGGTAATCCTTGGCAGAGGGTGGGGGGATGAGATGCCCCTTCCCGGTTCTGGGAGCCAGCCGGGACCCCCTAAGCCCCCCACCACCCAGCCCCAGCCCCTGGGCAGGGTGTGTCCCCCACGCCGGAGCAGCGCGGGGAGGGGGCACAGGCACCGGTGCCCCCCTTCCCCCAGCCCGGGAGCTGGTGGATGCCGGTGTAGGATCCATCCCTTAGCAACGACAGCATTCCCTGGACCCCTCTTTGTGCCACAGAGCCCCCCTTCCTCCCACCTCCCCAAGTGTGGCAGGCACACAAAGCCCTCCCGGGATCACGGGTGGGGAGCAGTTTTTTGGGGGGGATGAATCACGGGGAGGGAGGAAGAGCTCCGGGGTGATACCCCAGGGATCGGAGGAGCATCCTGCCCCTGCATCCCCCTCACCCCCCACCCTCTCCCCCCAAGGCGTGAGCTTTGCCACGCGGCAGATGGCCGGGCTCACCAAGCCCACCACCATCATCGAGGTGAGCGGAGACAAGGTCACCGTGAAGACCCAGAGCACCTTCAAGAACACCGAGATCAGCTTTAAGCTGGGCGAGGAGTTCGACGAGACCACGGCGGACGACAGGCACGTCAAGGTGAGCCCCCGGCCCTGCCCCCAGCCCTGCCCACCCCACGGAGGGTCTCTGGGCTCCCGGGGGGTCCAGCCCTGGTTGCCCGTGCGAGGGGAACACTCCTCTGCCCGCCGAGGTTGGTGCTCGAGCCTGGTGTGATCCGCACAACTCGCCCCCCCCGGGGGCAGGATGGGCCCCGGAGCTGCCGGGAAGGTTGTGCAAGAGCCAGGCTTGCAAGTGCCAGCTTGCTCAAGAGGAGGCCAGGGGATGCAGTGGGGTGGTGGTGAGTGTCCCCACTCCGGGGACAGAGGGGCACAGGGCCTCTTTTTTGAGCCCCCTCTGTGCTGAGCCCCCTCTTTGCCCACCCTCCCGAGCAGGCAGCTCTGCAGGCAGGGACAGGGACGGAGCACCCGGACAATCCCACCTGGATGGTGCCACCCCGGGGGCTGATGCATCCCCGGGGGTCCCTGGGGAGCCCAAAATCTTCTGACCAAAGCTGTTCCTCACCGAAAGAGCAAGAGTAAAATCACCTGAGGGAGGTCAGAGCACCTTTCACGGCCTCTCCCGCCCTGCAGAGACATTTTCCCTTGCAGGACTGACCCAGCCCCTGCTTTTCCCTGGTTTCCAGCTACTGGTCCCACACCTCACTGAATCCTCCCTGCAGGGAGCAGCTGGCAGCCCCCTGCCCCCCACCCAGCCCAGGGGGCACCTCAGGGGGCACCTTGGGGCTCGCTGGGCACAAAACCCCTTCCCGGCCCCAAGGCAGGAAGCACAAGGGCTGGGCAGGGAGCGAGGCTGGGGGAAGGGAGGCAGCGTGAGCCGGGCAGACACGGGGCAGCAGCGCCCTGCCCACCCCCTTTCCACCCCCTTCCCACCCTCCGGAACTGCTGGAAACTGTTCAAAGCAGCAGGAACGTGTGACCAGCCCAGAGCTCCTGCCCAGCCAGGGGACGTGCCCTTGGGGTGCCCCTCGGCCGGGGTTCAGAGGGCACATGATGGGTCAGCAGGGGCCAGGACGAGCCATGGGCTGCAGGGATGGGGCAGGGGGTGTGTGTGGAGCTGTGGGGCACCCAGGATTGCATGGAATCGTGGAATGGTTTGGACTGGAAGGGATCTCAAAGCCATGGGCAGGGATACCTACCACTATCCCAGCTTGTTCCAACCTGGCCTTGGACACTTCCAGGGATCCAGGGGCAGCCACAGCTTCTCTGGGCAACCTGTGCCAGGGCCTGCCCACCCTCACAGGAGAAGTTTCTCCCCAGTATGCCATCTAACCCTGCCCTCTGTCCATGGTTTCCAGGGCTGTGGGGCACCCAAATTCCTCTCGGGCACCCGAGCAGTGGGGACAACCCAGGTGTGGGGAGAGCTGAGCTCTGGGGGAGCACCCAGAGCCCTATGGGGACACTGACCCAAGCCATGGGGGTACCAAAGGGGCAGCCCCAGAGCCGGAGGGGCTGGGTGGGGGGCACAGGGCAGGATGGGGCCGGGGCACTGTCTATCCTGGCACAGCCTTTGCTGTCACACTAACCTGGGCACGGCCGGGCTGAGTCAGCAGCAGCGGCCTCGCAAACAGCCCGGCGAGCAGAGGCGCGTTTGCCGGATCAGCTCCTCCAAAAAAACCCTCCAAAGCTCTCCTGAGGGCAGGGAAGCTGCGGTTCAAAGGCCCGGCCGGTACCTGCCCCGATACCCGCCCCGCCCCTCCGAGCCCTCCGGGGCCGGTGAGCCGCGCTCGGGAGCGGCCGGGCTCAGCTCCCGGGCCCCGCTGCAGGATGGGACCCTGGGCAGGGCTCCCTGCGCTGGCCCCGGGGCAGGGAGGGCACGCTGGGGTTGCGGTGGGGCAGCCGAGACCGTGACCCAGCAGAGGACGCGGCGTCCTGGGTTGGGAAGGACTAACCGAGCCAGGTGGGATGATCCCAGAGGGGCATCCCGAGGGTGGCACTCACAGCCTGATCCTGAGCACTGAGGGGCTCCAGGGTGTGCACAGGACACCCAGCACCGACCCCTCCAAGGGACAAAGCCCCTCCAAGAGCCCTGAGACCCCGGAAAGGAGGGTTTCACAGCAGGCCTTCTCTCTCCCCACAGTCTCTGGTGAAGCTGGACGGAGGGAAACTCGTCCACGTGCAGAAGTGGGACGGGAAGGAGACAACGCTGGTGCGGGAGCTGAAGGATGGGAAGTTAATTCTGGTAAGGAAAGGGTGTTAAACCCGGGAAGGGCTCAGTCTAGGGCAGGCCTAGAGCTGGACTAACCCCCACTCCTCATCATCTGCCCCCAGACTCTCACCATGGGCAACGTGGTCTGCACCCGCACCTACGAGAAGGCGACATAGGCGCTGCCCCCGCCCCCCGCTGTCACCCGGTGCCACGTCCATCCCATCTCCCACATCCCCACCCCGTGCTGGGCACAGCTCCACGTGGGATTGGAGCCTCCTGCTGCCCCCGCCCCGGCGCCTCCCGGGGCCTGGGGGGAGGGGAGGGTGGGTTTGTGGTTTGTTGTTGGCGTTGTTTTTTTTAAGTAATAATGGGAAAAGTCGTGTGGAAAAAGAATAAAGGCCGTGTTGTTACAGCTCTGTGGTCAGTTTGCTTGGAAAAGGCTGGTTTGGCATGTGCCCATCCGCGGTGTTCAGCCACGACACCAGCCTGGCCACCCTGGCAGGGATGGGGTTAATGCCCGCTGATCCCTGCAGCACATTTCCCCAAGCTGTGGAAATAAGAGGCTGTGATGGTTAAAATGTGCTTTCCCAGGGGGGATATTTGTTCAGGATCCAGACAAGCTCCTTTCCCTGGACAGTGATCCTTCCACCAGGGCAGGGCTGGAAATCAAGGTCCCGAGCACCTGGTGGCTGGTTTTGGGAAGGGAACTGGTCCCATTGGGGGGATGCAGCCATGGGGAACTGGGGCATAGCACACAGAGGAGGGACAGGCTGCAGCAGCAACCCCAAATCCTTCTGCTGTGACACCAACTGGGAGTTGCCAACCCCACTCTGACCTCCCTGTAGAGCCAAAGGCAACAGGAGAGACTCACCTCCCCAGTTCCTTCAGCACATCTGTCCCAGTACAGACAACTGCTCCTGCTCCTGGCAGACACCCCCTGAGGTCACTGCCATCCCTTCCCCCTGACCTTCAGCTCCAGTTACAAGATTTATGCTCCAGCTGCTTCCTTCCAGAAGGCACCACGCTTCTCCTATGGGTTACCTCACCACACACCCCTTTCCCACCCCGGGGGGGACCTGGGGAAGCATCCAGGACTTCCAAAAAACCCCTTTCCTGCAGGTCTGTGCCCCGTTCCTTCCCTGCCCAAGTGTGGCAGGGACGGAAGAAAAGAGCAGGTACAAAGCACTGGTGGAAATGGAAACGCCAGAGATTTCTTTTCCATCACCTTCCAAGGCAGCAAACACTGCCCAGTGTTTACTCACAGTATCTCCACTCCCCGTGTGCTTCTCGCTCCTCCACTCGCAGTGTTTGCAGACACAGGGGGAGCTGGGGCAGCTTTGCAGCCCAAAGCCAAGGAGGGGGGGATGTGGCCCCATCCCAGGGCCCAGCAGCACACACTGCTGTCCCTGAGCAGCGTGGGGACAGGCAGGGACAGCCTGGCAGTGCCACCCCAGCTCTGCAGGAGCTGCACAGGGCTGATGTCACCCAGGCTGCTGCTGGAAGCACAGCCAGTGAAACACGAGGCTGCAGGACAGGAGAGGTGCCCTGGAGAGGTGCCCTGCAGGCTGTCATGAGCCTGTCCTGGCAGGAGCTGTGGGAGAAAGGGGCAGCCTGTGCCAAGGTGCCAGAGGACAACTTGTAGCAAGGTCACACCTGTAACACCACATGCCTGGGTTACTTTTAGAAGGAAACTCTGTCCCCGGTTCCTGCTGGCTGCTGCTGGTGTGCACCAGGGACTGGCAACATCAGCACCCCACCCTGCCCCTGCTCATTCCCAGGGCTACTTCCTGTGCTTCTGCTTCTTCTTCTTCTTCTTCTTGGGAGCCTTGGAATGCTTGCTCCTCTTGCTGGAGGGCTGAGCCCCCGAGCTGTCCGAGTCCGAGCTGTCCGAGTCCGACTCCGAGGACTCCTTCGCCTTGTGCTTCTTTTTCTTCTTCTTCTTCTGGGAAAACAAATGGAAAACGTGTTGGGAACACTGTCACCTGTGCTCACCAGGGCAGCAAGGGGCTTTGTGTCCCTGTGCCTTCGCAGCTGGGACAGGGAGCCTGCTCCTGCCAGGAAAGGGCACTCTGCCCCAGGAGGCAGGAGTTGATCCCCACTGCGGGCCCACAGCTGCAGGAGCTGGGGACAGGGGACAGCACAAATCAGAGCTGGGGGAGGTAACGTGTAAAGCCAAGCCTGGAAAGACTCAGATCAAAAGGAGAGTCCTTGCCCTCGCTCCACGGTGAGAGCACACTCCATTATTTGAGGCTGATCTTAATTAATAAAGTTGGAAGGATGAAGCTTTTTTGCCCAAAAAAGGGGTTTCTAAAATAGCCACGAGCACCACCCCTGCCCCCCTGCCCCATCAGCAGACCCCAGAATGCCAGGAGATGATCAGTGATGTGCTGGAGCTCTCCAAACACAGCTGCTCCTGGCAGGAGAGCCCAAGCCATGCCCAGCAGAGCTTCCTGCAGCCGGGACAAACTTGGTGCCCTCCCAGCACCCGCTCTTGGCACAACCTCCCTGCAGAGACTGCACCTCCCCCTGCCCCCACAGCTTCCCACTGCACCCCCTCCTGCCCCCACAGCTTCCCACTGCACCCCCTCCTGCCCACACAGCTTCCCACTGCACCCCCTCCTGCTCTCCCATATCCCTCCCCTCCATGACACCACAGAGCCCCCCAGGTTCCACCTGTTTCTGCAGAGCCCTGAAGCAAAAGCTCCCCAGGAAGCTCCAGACCCATCACTCAGATGTAGGGCAAGAACAGCTGGAGCTGGAATAAAGGTCCCAAGGAACTTGGAAATGCATCTAAACCCTCGAATCTGAGGCATGTGAGGAACCACCGAGCAGAGATTACCCCGAGATCAGGCCTGGGTGCACTGGAATTGCATCAGCAGAGCACCCCAAGGCACTGAACACTCTTTGATGACGGACTTTTACATACCACTGGATCAGCTCTGCAGGCTTGGAGGTGCCCAGGGAGCTCCCCAGGGTGGGAGAGCACACTGAAGCCACGCTGGATGTAGGTGTGTGCCAACAGTGAGGGCACAGGAGCCCTCCAGTGCCACCTACAAACTTGCCCTGAAGAACGAAATGCTTGGGGAAAGTGTCCTCATGTGGAGGGAAGAGAAGGCTGATTCCTCCCTCTTCCATTAGCTCCAGCCACTTCCAGACAGGTGCAGCTTCCCTGCAAGTATTCCTACCCCAGATCATGGAGAGACAAGTTGAGTCTGTCTGTATTTCCCTTAAAACCAGCCCCTTCTCCCCTAAGGGCAGGGACACGATTTCCCATGGATTGGGTATCCCAGCACCAGGCATGGGCTTGTCAATTAGGGAATAAAGAAGGGAGCTGGCAGCTTATTTACCGTGACAGAGGACAGTTGTTTCAGGGAGGTGGAAGAGCAAAGACAACACTTTGGTTTGGAGCTGTGCCGAGTCCTCTGGGATCCCACAGAGGATCCACAATCAAAACCCAGTGTCTGCATTTTCCTGTGGGATAACAAGACTCACTACAAATCCTACAAATCCCCAACCCACACACACACAAAAAAACCCCAAATCCTCACAGTCTTTGGAACAGGATGGGAAAGAGTTAAACCCTTCCAGAGAAAGGGATATGCAGCAAGGAGAATTTTCTCAAGCTTCCCCAGGCTTGGGTGGTGAGAAAGTTTGACAAGACCTTTTAAGAACCACGAGAGTTTCATCCCAGGGCTTGGGAAACTCGCTGAGGATGCGAGGGCTGAAGGCAGGACAGGATGTCACACGGGATGACAGGGGACACCAAAGCACGTGTTGGGCACTGCAAAAAAACAACCACCCCTCAGGGCCTCCTTCCAACACACACAGAGTCCTTTTTTTGGGGCACACTGTGGGATTTTCGGGGTGTCCCATGCAGGGCCAGGAGTTTGGACTTGATTGGGTCCGTCCAGCTCTGGGTATTCCAGGATTCCATGACTCTCCCAAGGCACTGCACTGCTCACCAGTGAACGTTTCCATGGGGGATTTGGGGATATTCTGGGATCAGGGTGGGTTTTTGGAGGCGTTTTGGTGAATTTTTGTGGGAATTTAATAGGACCTGGTATGGATTTGGAGGCATTTTGGGTGGCTTTCGATGGATTTTGGTGGCTTTTTGTGGGCTCTGAAGCTATTTGGATGGGATTTTCAAGGATCTGGATGAGATTTTCAAGGATTTGGACAGATTTTGAGGGCATTTTGGGATATCTGGGGGTATTTTGATGGGATTTGGGGGGGTTGGGTGTAATTTGTTATGTATTTCAGGTGGATTTGATGGGATTTGGGAATTTTTGGAGGTGGTTTTGTGGGTTTGGGAATATTGGGGGGATTTAGGAAAATTCTGGGATATTTTGGGAGATGCATTTTACCTGTATTTGGGGGTATTTTGTTGCAATTTTGGGGCATTATGATGGGATATGGGGCTATTGGGATTGAATTAGGGGGTTTTAGTGGGAAATTTTGAACATTTGGGGAATTCTGAAGCGAATTCCATGAATTTGGGAGGAGTTTGATAGATTTCAGTGGTATTTGAGTGCATTTTCCTGATATTTTGATGGGATTTGGGTGGATTTTAGAGGCCTCTTGGGTGAATTTCAGGGGTATTTTGGGGTGTTTTATGTGGATTTTGGCAGCATTTTGATGGAATTACGAGGAAAACGTGTGGACCTGGGGAAATCCAGAATAGTTTGGGGTGATTTTGTTTGAGTTCATTTGCTCCCAGGCTGTGCTTCAGGAATGTCACAACATCTCATTCCTTCTCAAGGTATTTGGTTTTGAGATAAGAGGGGAGTGTCCAGAAACACTTGAAATATTTCTCAGAAGACCCTTTTGGTGGAAGTTGCGGCCTCATTTCAACATTTTCCTGCCTGGCCTTGGGGGAAAAAATTAAGAGTGGATTTCCACAGAGATGTCAGTCTGCATCTCCAGAGAGGTGCCAATAATCCTCACAGGCTTCTTTTTTTTAAATTTTATTTTAGATTTTTTTATCCCACCACCCAATTTACTCCCTAACAAGATTCAGCACATAAATCTAAAGGTGGGTTTTGTGGTTTTTTTTGCATCCCTTGTTTGAGGAACAGTCAGAACTAACCTGAGGAGGAGGAGAATCCAGTCTGTAGGCTCAGAAAAGCAGGGATTAAGCACAGTGTGTGAAGGGCCGTGCCCTCAGCTATTGTGGTGTAGGAACCAGTAAAACAAGCCCAAGGGAGGATGGAGTGAGGCTTGATGAGCCACAGGTCACAGAACAAACATCAGCCAGGTGTGGTTTTTACAGGCAGAGCACCTGGAACTCTTCTACAAGGTGGCAAAAAAAGCAGCCAAGGCTTCAGAAAAACCCAATTCCAACGGATCATCAGCCCAGGATGAGCTGTTGGGTGGGACTGAGGAGAGGGGATGTTTCTGCAGGGTTTAAACTGAAGGGGCTGTAGCCCTGGGTGAACACTGGGGATGTTTCCTTGGGAGGCAGAGGAGAAGGCAGGATCAAAGGGCTCAGCTCTTCCCAGCACTCCTGCCTCCCACACAGGCAGGGACTGCTGCTGTGTTCCCACAGGAGCTGCCTCACCCCCTGACCCCAGAGGAAAAGGGACAGGGACACACAGCCCCTGCCCTGCCCAGCTGTCACAGACTGCCCAGGGGTGCTGCCAGCCCTGCAGCAGGGGATGATGGAGCTGTTTTAGGGTTGGAAAAGATCTCCAGGATCATCAAGCCCCAGCATGTTCACCACTAAATCATAGCCTGAAGTGCCACATCCACACGATTTTGGAATCACTCCAGGAGTGGGGACTCCAAACTTCCCTGGGCAGCCCCTGCCAAGGCCTGACCACCCTTTCCATGAGGAAATTCCTGCTGGTGTCCAACCTGCCCCTCCCCTGGCACAGCTGGAGGCCGTTCCCTCTCCTCCTGTCCCTGTTCCCTGGGAGCAGAGCCCGACCCCCCCCGGCTCCCCCCTCCTGTCAGGGATTGCAGAGCCAGAAGGTCCCCCCTGAGCCTCCTTTTCTCCAGGCTGAGCCCCCGCAGCTCCCTCAGCTGCTCCTGCTGCTCCAGCCCTTTCCCAGCTCCTTTCCCTTCCCTGGACACGCTCCAGCATCTCCACTTCTCCCTCAAACCACTTATTTCTACAGCTACATCCTGTAAATGAAGGAAAAAATTGAGGAGCCATTGGGAAGGCAAGGTGAGAAAAAAAAAGGGAGTGAGAACCTCAGAGTGCCTGTGGCAGGACAGGAATCTTTGGGGACAGGGAAGAGCACCCAGAGATAGCAAGAAAGCATCAGATCTAGGAAAGCAGAAAGTGCTGATCCTGAACAACCAGAAGTGTCAATAGTGTTGCTCTGGCACTAAGTGGAGGTGGGATCACTGGGGAGTGGCAGCTCCCTGCTACTCATTCAAGAATCCAGCTCCACACTGATGTCACACATGTGGGATGGGCCAGCCAGGGGACTGTCACTGGGTAAAATGAGCTATTTCTATGCTGGAGCTGCAGCCAGGCAGGGAAGCACATGGTGGCTCCTCCATGAGCTCACAGCAGGCACTCAGACAACAAGGGAGCTATTCATGTCGAGGATCCCACATCCTGCCTCCAGAGGAGCTCCAAGTGTTGTTATTCCAGCTCTGGCAAACATCTGAACACTTTTGATGTCCTCCTTGAGAAGGGGGGAAGATGAAAGGAATGAGCAAGATTTAAAGGGAAGCTGTTAATACACCAAACCAAAGAAAATAGGAACAAATTGAGGACAGTGACCCCCATATCCTGTCGTGTCAGCAGGGCAGGACTCCACTGGGAATGCCCATCCTGCTGGATGTGGAGTTATTCATGCACCTCTCAGTGTAATTTTTTTCCCCACAGCATTTAAAAAACTTGAGCCTTTACCAGGCAAATCCCCATCCCTGCCAGAGGGAAGAGACTCAAGGCAGGAGAAGGGTTGTGGAGCTCAGAACAGAGAAGCCCAATGTCTGGGGTCTGGAAAGGGCAGAGGCACAGCCAGCCTGGGATCTGAGGGATGACTCGGTTGAATCCCATGATCCCAAGATCAGAACAGGAAGTAAACAGTGTGGATTTTCTATCAGGGTGCCATGACACTCCACAGACATTCCAAGGACTCTGGAGCAGGAGCCTACACAGGGTGGAAGCACAGGACATCCAGGGATGGAGCCTGGCACAAGGTCTGTGACCAAGGGAGATCCTCTTCCCACCTCTGGATCAGCTCTCCAAGTGCTCCTGAGCAAACAGGAGCTGCCCATTTGGGATCAAATCAGCACTAACTGTGTTTGGTACTCAAGTCAGACTCCCCCCCACATATTCACTATTTCCCCCCCAGGCTGGTTGGGCACTGAACAGGCTCCCCAGGGCAGTGGGCACAGCCCCAAGGCTGCCAGAGCTGCAGGAGGGTTTGGACAACACTCTGAGGGACAGGGTGGGATTGTTGGGGTGTCTGTGCAGGGCCAGGGGTTGGATTTGATCATCCCTTCCAATTCAGAACACTCCATGATTCTACTGGCAGCATCTGCAGCCTCTCCCACCAGTACCAGCACTGGGGTAAGGCCACAGTGAGGTGGGAGAGCCCAGCCCTCAGGAGCTGGTCCTCACTGTGCCATAACTGACACCACCCTTGTCCCTCTCCTGTAAAGCCAAAATCCATCACCTTTGCTTCCTGTCCCTCTCCGGGGACAAAGAGAGGCCACAGAGCTGCAAAGAGGAAAACAATAAAAAGAAAGGGCTTTGGGAGTGTAAATAAACATGGTACTGCAGTTGTGAAGGGGCTGATAAAAGTTTGATTGTTTACTGAAGTCTAGAATTGGAATAAGCTGTGGCTGCCCCTGGATCCCTGGAAGTGTCCAAGGCCAGGTTGGACAGGGTTTGGAGCAACCTGGGCTGGTGGGAGGTGTCCCTGCCCATGGCAGGGGGTGGAATGGGATGGGCTTTGAGGTCACTTCAACCCAAACCAGCCTGGGATTCTATCAACAGCCTCTGCTGTATAAACCTGACCCCCAAAAGCTCCTGGTCTGGGTTCAGGCCTCCCCTGAATCTCATCCCAGCACGTTCTGAGCCAAAGGTCAGACACTGCACATAAAAATACTGTTATCTCTTGCCATTTTCCCATGGATTTTCACCTTCTGGCTGGGTCAGGACACCCCCTGGAGCCACACACTGGGCACTGAGTTCGGGTTAAAGGTGGGAGGGCAAAGGGAGGGAAAACAGCTTATTTGCAAGAATCACAGACATTCAGGAAACCAAAGCAATTCCCACAGAGCCTCACAAAGACCAGGAGGAAAATAATAATCCTTTTCTCACTCCAAGAAATATCTTTGGGGGGCTGTCTGCCACAGCCCAGAACCAGCTTAAAGGCAGTTTAGCATAAACAGAGGCAGAAAGTTTAAGAGTGGCTAAAAAGTCTGCAGAGGAGATTCCTGTTTTGCTACAGGAAGATTGAGCCACCCTCCCAGCCCAGAACTGGTTACTCACACACCCATGTTGCTGCAGTAACTCACACAGCAAACTGCTCATCCCACTTTTCCAGGTCACCTCCTACCTTTTTCCTCTTTTTTGAAGGCTCCTCAGCCAGGCTGGTCTTTTTGTCTCCTCCATGTCCTGCTGCTGCTGCCACCTCATCTTCCTCCTCTTCTGGGATGAGGCTGTACTTGGTACCTCCAGGCTGCATAAAACACTCCTTGGCAAAATGACCTGTAAAATAAATGTTTGAAGGAGCAACTCGTGCCCTTTTCCCTTTGCACTTCACACACCTGAGCTGCTGCTGAGGATCTTTTTATTATGAGTTACGAGAAGACAATCTACACTGGAGTTTTTTTTTTTTTCGTCCTAAAACTTCAGCTGGTTTGACATGCCCTGATTCAACAGGCCAGATAAAACACAACCCAGGTCATTCTGGAGAAATGAGTCAGGCAAAAGAGGAAGATATTCCTGTCTGAACAGGGCAATTGCAGAGACCTGTCTGTGCAAGGGGCTTAAACAGCACAGGAAGGGGCATGGGAAAGGTAAACTGGGGTGATTGGCACCTGGTAAATGAGCCACAAAGCTCATTTTGGTTCTGCCCTTTCTAGTCTGAAGGTATCAAAAGCTGACCTACTAATAGCTGAAGTGGAAACTCAGATAGCTGGCACCTGCCTGCTGTCAGGAGGAGACAGCATCATTAAAATCAGACTGGAAATAGGTAGAATCCTACTTTTTTTTTTTTTTGAGTTAAAATAGTATTTTATATATAATATTCTTTAAAATAGTATTTTAAAGATACTTCCATTCCACTACAGAGCCCATCCTCATTATTAACCTCCTCCAGAATAGCACGAACCCCATTAACCATTTGCTCCAAATAACATCAGGCAAGTGGGGCACAGCCAAAAAAACTCCTGTCCAAAAAAAAAAAAACAAACTACTTGATGCTTCAGCAACTTGCAGAATGCTCCTGAAAGGCACCACACAAGTCAGGCTCCCACTGCTGAACTGGGCAAGACACAGATTTCAGCAGGTTAAAACCCCAGTGATGTGGGATTTCCGTGGGTCACTGTTCACAGTCAGATGATCTCAAGGCCACCCTTACTCCTCAAAATGCAAAATCAGAATGAGGTCTCAGCTGTGAGGCACGTTGAGCAAACACTGCCAGGACTGAAGTGTTCCCAGCAGGGATCAGAGAGTAGATGGGGTTGGAAGGGCCCTCTGGAGATCACCCAGTCCATCCCCCTGACCAGGAAGGGTCACCCAGAGCAGGTGACTCAGGGACATGTCCAGGTGGGGTTGGAATGTCTCCAGCCAGGGAGATTCCACACCCTCCCTGGGCAGCTGTTCCAGGCTCTGCCACCTCCATGGACAGAAGTTGTTCCTCACACTGAGGTGGAGCTTGCTGTGTTTTAGTTTCTGGCCCTTGTTCTTCCTCCTGTCACTGGGCACCACTGAGCAGAGTCTGGCACAACCTCTGACATCCCTCAGAGATATTTTTGTGGATTGACATTTGTATGGATTGAAAAGATCCTCTCTCAGTCTTCCCTTCTCCAGACTAATCAGGCCCAGCTCCCTCAGTCTCTCCTCATCAGAGATCCTCCAGTCCCTTAATCATCTCCGTGGCCTCTGCTGGACCCTCTCCAGCAGCCCAAAGGGGGATGGGATTTTAAGGAATGAACTTTTATAAAAGGATTTGAACTAAGTCTTCCATTTTTATAACCAGAGACAGAAAATGCAGTTTTCCTCTAAGGGAGGCCCATGGCAGCCAAATTCAGTCCTTACACACACCCATGTTAACGGGTTTCCAGAGAAGCTGTGGCTGCCCCTGCATCCCTGGAAGTGTCCAAGGCCAGGTTGGAGCAACGTGGGCCGGTGGAAAGTGTCCCTGCCCATGGCAGGGGGTGGAATGAAATGAGTTTTAATGCCCCTTCCAACCCAAACCAGCCTGTGATCCTTTCCATGAGACAGACACTGGTACAATCCCACCTGACTGCAACAAGGCTGCACCAAGAGCTCCATTCAGCCCTGCCCAAACACACCTTTGCAGCCACACTTCTTGCACACGGTGTTCAGAACAGCTTCCAGCGTGATCTTCTGGCTCGTGTAGTCCCTGAAGGTGCGTTTCTTCCTCTCATCCTGGCTGGGAAGAGAAGGACAGTTCCATTTTCCACCCACTGTCACCTTTCAGCCTGCATGTTTGTACTGACAGAGCAAACACACAGGGAGCTGCAGTTACATCCCCCATGTAACATCCGTGTTTTGTGTGTGAATACACACATGAACACACTCAAATGGTTGGAAATCCAACCTGGCCTTGGACGCTTCCAGGGATCCAGGGGCAGCCACAGCTGCTCTGGGCAACCTGTGCCAGGGCCTGCCCACCCTCATAGCCAAC